CAGCAATTGTGAGGTTGGCCCAGGACTGGGCAGTGTTTCGTTCTGTTGTACATAAGGTCACTATGAATTGGTACCAACTCGATGGCATCTAACAACAACAGAGGGCAGACACATAGTAACATGGGTGACAGAAAGGAGATATACATCAAGAAGGGGGTTAGCAAAGGAAAGATGAAGATAGCAGGAGACACAGGGAGAGATGCAACAGCTAAAATGAATAAAAGCAAATACTCTTAAGTGTTACCATGAAATGAAGCAAAGCATATGATTTGTTAAGTGTAAAATCTACCATCTGCTCTACAAAACTTCACTCAATTTACAATAAAAAAGTTGGGGTTAAAAGAGAGAAATCAAACTGCTAAAAAATAAACAAATAAAATCTCCTGACGTTCTGGCGTGGCACTGTAGGATAAGCATTAGACTGCTAACCGCAAGGTCAGTGGTTCAAACCACCCACCAGCCACTCCTGGGAAACCCTATACAGGATCACTATGAGTCTGTACAGACTTGACGGCACTTAACAACAACAAAGTGTTCAAGAGTAAAGATAGCTTGAGGACTAAGGTGTGCCTGACCCAAGCCATGGTATTTTCAATCGCTAAATATATATGTGAAAACTGTACAGTGGAGAAGGCAGACTGAAGAATTGAGCGTTGGTGAGGAAAATTGACTATATCAGAAATATACCAGAAGAACAAACAAATTTGTGTTGGAAAAAGTATAACCAGAATGCTCCTTAGAAGCAAGAGTGGAGAGACCGGTCATCAGACGGCACCAGTCCCTAAGGGAGGGCATCATGCTTAATAACATAGAGGGTAAGCGAAAAAGAAGACCCTCAATGACACAAACGGATGCTTTCTAGCATAACAGCAATTGTGAGAATCGCGCAGAACCCGACAATGATTCTGTTGTATCTCGGGTTGTACATAGATTTGGAACCGACTCCTTGGCACCTTACACCACCCTTCTCATCGTTTCGATTCTGACGCCTAGCAACAGAATTACATGGATTACAGAGTAGAACTTTCCCATTGGGTTTTCTTGATTGTCATCTTTACAGGAGTCGCCCTGGTGGTGCAACAGTTAAGCGCTCGTACGCACATGTGCACACACACATATAGATATTCCAATAGCATGGTGAAGAGCCCCAATGTGCTCTGGACGAAGCCCCAGTTCTGTCCTTGGAGTCCCACCTTCTTGTTGTCCCGATCTCCGGAAGAGTCGTCTCGAACCTGGAAGTTGTGCAAGTTCACAAAGTCTTTGAAGTCGTAGGAGTCACCACGGCGCTTACAGATGAGCAGGGCTTTGTCAAGCAGGAAGGCATACCTAGGAGTGACAAGGTGGGGACTCTTGTCCATCCGGTACCTCCCACCTGACCCCACTTTCCTGACTTCAGCTTGAATAAGTCTCCTCTTTCACCGCCAGTTTGGCCCCACCCACACGATTTGTGTTGGTCCCACCCACATGTCAGTCCTTGCCCTGCCTTGTCTATCCATTTAAGCTCTACCCCTTGCATCCACAGATTTGTGTTGGCCACGCCTTCTTATCGAACTTGGCCCCACCCACAGTTCATGCTGGCCCTGCCCTCCCTGTCCATCTAGGCTCCACCCGCTGATTTAGTGGCCCCACCAATGTGTCTATCTTGGAATGTGGCCTTGCCCCCATCCAGGCTCCGCCCACTTGCCCCATCTTGGCCACACCTGTCAATCCTTGCTGGCCCTCGCCTGTCAATCTCTCTTAGCACCACCCATCTGTCTATTTATAAGTCTGGCCCCGCCCACCTGTCCATCTTGGAGCGCCGCTCTGATGACGTAATCTTGAGCTCCCCGTCGATCTTGGGTCTGCCATAGTGGGCCAGAGACTGGCCCTGCACAGCAGACAGAGAGTCTGTCAAGGGTCCACCACGCGAGGGGCCCAAACAACCGCCTCCCCCATGGACACACCCCTGGCCCAGGCCCCAGCCCCTCACCAGGTTCTCTATGGACAGCTGGAAGTTGGTGATCTGCTTTAGCGTCTCATTGTCTCGCTTTACTTCATTTACGCACTGCGCCAGGTCCTGGGAGCGAAGTAGTAGGTGAGTGTGGACCCCGCACGGTCCAATCCCCTACTTGGCCTGGGCAGGGGCTTCAGTGACAGGGGATCCACAACATGTCACTATACTGTATGGAAACCCTCAAGGGCTATGCTGCAAACCACGGTCCTAGGGAATTGTCCATGTGTGGTGGAGAGGAGGGGTTGGCTGCCTTGAGGATGTGTCAAGTGTGTGTTGTTGATGTTAACTGTTGTCCAGTTAGCCCTCAAACCCCCTGCACAACTTAACAAAACACTGCCATCCCCATCATCGGTGAGGACTGGACTGCTGTTACCAGTTTCCATTGGCTGACTTTCAGAAGTTGATCACCAGGCATTTCTTCCTAGTCTGGCTTAGTCTGAAGGCTCTGCTGAACCCTGTTCAGCGTCCTCACAACACAAGCCCCCACCCCAGGTGGTGGCTGAGAACTAAAGCCAGTTGCCAGTATGAGAGGCAAGAATGCTACCACTGATCCACTGCCCCCATGAAGGTGTGTATTGCTATTGTTAGGTGCCATCGATTCGATTTTCAACTCATGGAGACCCCATGTGACAGAATAGATCTGATCCACAGGGTTTTCTAGGCTGGCATCTTTATGGAAGCTGATCAGAAGGTCTTTCTCCCAAGGAGCCATTAGGTGGATTTGAACTGCCAACCTTTCCACTATCTGCCAAGTGCTCAACTCTTTGTGCCACCAAGGGCCTCAGGGATTCCGACATAAGTGTTGCCTGTTGCTATTGAATCAATCTGGATTCATAGCGACCCCACGTGACAGACAGTGTTTAATTTTCCAGGCCGTCATCTTTACAGGTGTGGATTGCCAGATCTTTCTTTGGAGTAGCTGCTGCATGGGTTTGAACCACCAACCTTTTGGTTAACAGCTGAAAGCAGGGCTCCTTGAAGGTGTGTGGGCCCCCTGAAACTCTGGGCTCACCTGGCGTCTGTATTCGTACCTGGGGGTGACGGTCACCCCACCACTTTCAGAAGATTCTGAGCATCATCTGTCAGTTCCTTCTAACCACTCACCCGCATGGCATCCAGGGCCAACCGCAAATTCTCCTTCTCCATCGAGTCCTGTGTGTGTCTCACTAGCTCCTGTGGGACCCAGGAGTCAGATGTCACCTGAGCAGCCCCCTGCTGACACCCCCCCCAACATGTTTTTCCTCTACTTCCCCCTCCCTGGAGGCAGGAATGACCCAAACACCATCCCAGCCATGCCCCCACCCAGACCCGTGAACCACACCTGGAGAAGTAGGTGGTACTTCAGTACCCGCTGCATGGGCACCATCAGCAGGTCCCGCAAGGTGAACCTCCCGTTGTTTGCTCGCTTAGAACATTCCTGCAGGGAGATGTTGGAATGAGACATAGAATGGGGTGAGGCTGGAGGCAGGTGTTCTGGCTGAGCTGGTAGTGGGGAGGTACGCAGACAGACCCCAAAGCTATAGAGATTCTTCCTAGAGTCCAAGTGCCACATCTCTCCACAAGAAATAAGTAAAGAAATCTTTACAGCAAGGATCATTCCCACCCCTTTGGTACACAGGGTAGACAAGGATGAGCAACTTGGACATTGGCTACCCAAAGGGGCGGGTGGGGGGGCGGC